CTGGGGCCCAGATGACTGAGGCAGCCTCCAAGGTGGACCCAGCAGTGACAGCAGAGCCAGGACCAACAGGAGAGGCTGAAACCTGGAGCAGAGATCAGCTCCGGTCCCCCTGGGGAGCTCAGGAGACAGAGTAACAGAGCTGGGACCCTGACTGCTGAGGATGGGCCATGCCTGGCTGCTTGCTGCTGGGTTTCCTCAGGAAACCGATAGACGAGTTCTGGGACGTGGAGGAGCTGGACGTGTGGACTCCACAGGCCAGGAGAAGCGCCATGGGAAACGCTGGCCGACCAACAAGAACATAGGAAAACACAAGCCCTTATCCCTCCACTACTCAGTCTCCCGTGGGGTGTAGCGAGGCCAGCAGTAGAGACCACAGAGACCTCCCACAGAAACCTCACAGAGACATTTCATACAGAGAGCCCACTGGGACCACTCACTGCCACAGAGAGAGACACACTGCGGCCTCCAGAGACCCCACAGAGCTCTCAGAGACCTCATGGTGCTCCACAGAGACACAGCACTGAGATTCCCAGAGTCCTCACACAAACCCCTTCAGAGAATCCCACAGGGACCACACTGAGAGACTTCATTCAGTCCCACAGAGACCTCCTGCAAATTTCAGAGACCTTCCTTTGTTCTCACACAGAGGCCTCACACCTGACAAAGGCCTCAGAGACTTTACACAGAATCATAAAATGGAACTCATGCAAAGACTCATGCGGCTTACCTCGTGATCTGCCTGCCTCAGCCTCCCAAAGTGCTGGGATTACAGGCATGAGTCATCTCGCCCAGCCTCTCTTTTATTTTTTAAGTTGGGAGTCTTGCTTTTTCATCAGGCTGGAATGCAGTGGCATGATCTCAGCTCACTGCAATCTCCAACTCCCAGGTTCAAGTCATTCTCCTGCCTCAGCCTCCCTAGTAGCTGGGATACAGGTATGCACCACCAAGTGGGCCAAGCTAATTTTTGGTATTTTTAATAGAGACGGGTTTTTACCATGTTGGCCAGGCTGGTCTCAAACTCCTGACCTCAAGTGATTCACCCGCCTTGGCCTCCCAAGGTACTGGGATTATAGGCATGAACCACCGCACCCATACTGGTACTGTAATTCTCTCTGGGCACCCTGGCCCTTTGAGCTGCAGAAGGACTGCCAGGGCCAGGCCCCGAGCAGCCCCTGATAGGTGTTCAGTGAATGAGTAGGGGTGAGGAGGGGAGGCTGGGGAGGCCTCCATGTCCTGCTGAGGTCTTGCATGGTGGTCCTTTCCCACTTACAGCTCACTGCCTTGGACTAGGTCCCAGCCGATGGCCCGGCAGAAGTGTCTTCTCTGTTCTTACCCAGTATGACCTAGATGGCAGCCAATAAGCACATGGAATGAGCATAGCCCTGAGGGGTCAAAAGTGTGTGAGAAAGAAAGGGAGGGAGGGAGGGAAGGAGAAAGGAAAGGAGGCACTGGAAAAAGGCAGAAAGGAAGGAAGGGAGGGAGGGAGGGAGGGGACAATGAATGACTGCACATACAACGGAATGAGTGAATGAATGCCCAACCCAAGAAATGAGTGAATGAATGCACACACAAAGGAATGAATGAATACACACACCAAAGAATGAATAAATGAATGAATGAATGTACACAAATGAATTAATGCACACAAAGGAAAAGAGCCAATGTATGAAAATACCACTTGTGGGGCGTGAAGAGGCCTGAAGAGAACCCCAGTTGATGGGGCCCCATGTTGCGTCCTTGCTGCTGAGGGACCTGGACATGCTGGTGCATGGGAGAAGGGCTTGGGCTTGGGGTGAATTGGCTCACAGGCCATTCACATCACGTGTCACAAGTAACCCTGAGCAGCAGGCTCCCCCTCCCGAGCCTTAGCCCCAGCAGATGTTAACATGGATTAGAAGAGCGACCTCATGGCGCTTTTCTGAAAATTCAGTAGGTGAAACTTGGTGGCTCATGCCTGTAATCCCAGCACTTTGGGAGGCCAAGGTGATTAGATCACTTGAGCCCAGGAGTTTGAGACTAGCCTGGGAAACAATGAGACCCTGTTTTTTTTAAAAAAACAAAAATGAAAATTCAATGGGGTGCCAGGTGTGCCAGTTCTAGAGCTATGACATTTGTTTATTTGGTTCTACCCAAGCCACTTCAAACAACTGAGCCCCCCAGCCAGTGGGCCCGGCCTCTCAGTCACACTGGCTGAGGGGTGTGTGCATCTTTCTCCTTCCTTTAACTGTCCTCATTCTTTCCGTGTGTGTTTGTGTGTGTGTGTGTGTGTGTGGTCTTTTTTCTCTCATACACACACACACACACACACACCTGTCGAATCTGCATGCTCTGACACACAGACACACAGTCATACTTCCTTTTAAAAAATTTTTATTTTTAGAGGCACAATCTTGCTCTGTCGCCCAGGCTGGAGTGCAACGGCACAATCACAGATCACTGCAGCCTTAAACTCCTAGGCTGAAGCGATCCTCCTGACTCAGCTTCCTGAGCAGCTGGGACAACAGACATGCATCCCCATGTCTGGCTAATTTTTTTTTCGTAGAGGTGGGGTCTTGCTGTGTTGCCCAGGCTTGTACACTCCTGCTTCTGTATGTATTTATCCATGTATGTATGTATCCTCTTTTTTGAAAATGATTTCATTGAATCTTTCTTTAAGCACAGACTTTTCTGAACCTCTGGGGACACCCGGAAGAGGAAGGGAGGGGTCTGGATACCCCCTAGGACCACATTGGCCCTGAATGCAGGACAAGCCCAGGCAGGAGAAACAGACCCTGCTGAGGGGTCTCCTCTTTGCCTCCTCCCTGGGTCCCAGCTGGGTGATCTCCTCGGTTCACTGCCTGCCAGGGTCAGGCAGTGCATGGCCAAGCCCACCGCTATGTCATCATTCCAGGGGGAAGGGGCTTGAAGGCTGCGTCATGGAGTGATGGGAACCTGGATTTAGTTGGTATGACCTGAGCTCAGCTTTCAGCTTTTCCACATCCTGGCGGTGGGGCCTTCGGGTGGGAATTCCTCCTCCGCAAAATGAGAGCTTGTGAGAATTAAAGTGGCCCCGGCATTTAGGAAACAGCCCTGTGATGTAGGTTCATGCTCTCATGACCCAATTACTTCCCAAATACAAAAAATTAGCTAGGAGCGGTGGTGGGTACCTGTAATTCCAGCTACTCAGGAAGCAAAGACAGAAAATTGCTTGAATCCAGGAGGCAAAGGTTGCAGTGAGCTGAGATGGTGCTACTGCACACCAGCCTAGGCAACAGAGCAAGGCTCTGTCTCACAAAAAAGAAAAAAAAGGAAAAAAAAAATGAAATGGAAGGAGATGAAAAGGAATATATGTAACATAGGCAAGGACTTCATGACTAAAACACCAAAATCGTTGGCAGCAAAAGCCAAAATAGACAACTGGGACCTAATTAAATTCCAGAGCTTCTGTACAGCAAAATAAACAATCAACAGAGTGAACCAGCAACCAACAGAATGGGAAAAAATTTTGCAATCTACCCATCTGACAAAGGGCTAATATCCAGAATCTACAAAGAACTGAAACAGATGTACAAGTAAAAAGCAAACAAACCCATCCAAAAGTGGAAGATATGGACAGACACTTTTCAACAGAAGGCATATATGAGGCCAAGAAACATGAAAAAATGCTCATCATCAGTGATTATTAGAGAAATGCAAATCAAAACCACATTGAGATATCATCTCACACCAGTCAGAATGGCAATCATTAAAAAATCTGGAGACAACAGATGCTGGAGAGGATGTGGAGAAATAGGAACACTTTAACACTGCTGGTGGGAGTGTAAACTGGGTCAACCATTGTGGAAGACAGTGTGCTGCTTCCTGAAGGACCTAGAAATAGAAATTCCATTTGACCCAGCAATCCCATTACTGAGTAACACACGCAGAGGATTATAAACCATTCTATTATAAGGACACATGCACACATAAGTTCATAATGGCGCTGTTTACAATAGCAAATACCTGGAACCAAACCAAATGCCCATTGATGACAGACTGGACAAGGAAAACTTGGCACCTATACACCATGGAATACTATGTAGCCATAAGAAATGATGAGTTCATGTCATCTGTAGGGACATGGATGAATATGGAAACCAGCATTCTCAGCAAACTGACACAAGAACAGAAAATCAAACACCACATGTTCTCACTCATAGGAAGGTGTTGAACAATGAGAACACATGGACACAGGGAGGGGAACATCACACACTGGGGTCTGTTGCGGGGGCCAAGGGAGGGACAGTGGGGGAGGATGGGGAAGTCGGGGAGGGATAAGATGGGGAGAAATGCCAGGTAGGTGACAGGGGGATGGAGGCAACAAACCACATTCCCATGTGTGTACCTATGCAACAATCCTGCATGATCTGCAAATGTAACCCAGAACCTAAAGTACAATTAAAAAAACAAAAAGATTTGCAAGGAATCAGAAAGCATTTAAATATCCACATGAAGATATTCATCAGCAACACTGATACCGCAAAGAAAAGAAAATCAAATCAGTGATATTAAGAATAAATTGGAGAAGTCCTCCAAGAATGTAGAGGAAAAGGATAACAGAATGAAAGTGATGACGACGAGAGCTCTGTGAAACCCAATATTAAAACTCCAAGATTAATACAATAAAATTTTCATAATAGCGTATAACAACAAACTAATGAAAAAAACAACAACATAGAGAACATTTTTTCTGGACCTTTATAAAAAATCATGTTCTATAAAAAGAAATCCTCACATCGACATATCCTGGCAGAATATGTATTGAAATGCTGGAAAACTTTAAACCATTCCGGGATCTGAGAAAAGTACTTAGAAACGAATGAAAATTGCCAGGTGAGGTGGCTCACGCCTGTAATCCCAGCACTTTGGGAGGCCGAGGTGGGTGGATCACGAGGTCAAGAGATGGAGACCATCCTGGTCAACATAGTGAAACCCCGTCTCTACTAAAAATACAAAAAATTAGCTGGGCATGGGGCGCGTACCTATAATCCCGGCTACTCAGGAGGCTGAGACAGGAGAATTGCCTGAACCCAGGAGGCGTAGGTTGCGGTGAGCCGAGATTGCGCCATTGCACTCCAGGCCTGGGTAACAAGAGCGAAACTCTGTCTAAAAAAAAAAAAAAAAAAAAAACAAAAAAAGAAAAGAAAAGAAATGAATGAAAATCAGGCTGACCCTGGCTTTTCCTCTGTGACAGAAAATTCAGGAAAACACTAGAATACCATCTACATAGTTGAGGGGAAGGGTGAGAAACCCAAGTAACCAGAGATTTTGGAAACACACTTGCGTAGTCTGACATCTGTGAAAATAACATACTTGGCTGTTTTTGCTTTCAGAGTACATATCACCAATAAGCAGCTTAAGAAAAATATTACTTTAGTTCAACCATTATGGAAGACAGTGTGACAATTCATCAAGGATCTAGAACCAGAAATACAATTTGACTGGGGTGAGTGTGGTGAGGAACAGCAGGGGCAAAGGCCCTGGGGTGAGTGTGGTGAGGAGGCAGCAGGGGCAAAGGCCCTGGAGTGAGTGCAGTGAGGAAGCAGCTGGGGCAACAGCCCTGGGGTGGATATGGTGAGGAGGCAGCTAAGGCAAAGGCCCTGGGGTGGGTTTCGTTAGGAGGCAGCTGGTGAATGTCATCAGCCCGGTGTTCACATGCATGGCCCACTTCCCCTAGTCTACTCCCCCAGGGGCGTCAAAGGTCTCAGCCTTGCATGAGAGATTTCCCAACTTTCCAAACTTGTCAGCCCTCGAGGTTTGTCTTCCTGGGTGGGTTTCTGCTGTGTCTGAGAGGTGTCCCAGGGCCAAGGACAGGGGGAGAAACTAGCCCAGCAGGCCTGGGTTTGCCTACCACTCTGTCTCTCACTTTCTGTGTGACCTGAGGCAAGTTACCAGACCTCTCTGAATGTTTTCCTAGCGGAGCTTTTGGTACATGCCTGATGTGGGGTGTGCGATCAGGTAATGCTGTTTCCCTGCCACCTGTCTCCCCATGCCAGTGGTACAGTGCCCAGAGCCTGCAATCCTCACTCTGTGTGTGGGCCAAGAAAGAATGCACCCTTTGGCTGGTGCACTAGGTGACCTTCAGGCTATCTGGGACCAGCTCTGACAGCCTCTGCTCTGGGATCAGCTGCCGCAGCAACCTACACATGGCATGGGGCAGCAGCAGTGGCATCCCTGGACATTGACCCCAGTAGCATGGAACCCAGGACCGGATACTGCCACAGTTAGCCTGCAGGTGTGGGAGGGCAGGAGGCGCTCAGTCACAACTCTGGGGCTGCACAGTGCCCAGCGCCTGCAAACCTGTGCTCTGGGCCAGGCCTAAGGAAAAGTGGACCCTAGGGTGGGATGGCGGTACACTCCCTGACCCCCACGCCCTCGGGGAGCAGCTATGCAAGAATCTGCCATGGGCTCAGCCACAGCTGCAACCTGGAAATGGCACAAGTCAGTATCAGTGGCAACCCCTGGCCCTGTCCTCCCCCACCAGCAGCAGGAATCCCAGGGCCAGATGTCACCATGGTGCCTAATTTAGGCGGTTGGCGGCGCAGTTACAGGGTGATGGAAACCGGTGCTCAGACTCAACCTGGGTGCTGCAGTGGGCCCAGAGCCCGCGACCACACACTCTGGGCATGGGCCAAGGAAGCACGGATCTTAGGGTGGGGGGAGGTGCCCTGGGCAACACCCAGGCTGTCTGAGACCAGCCCTGCAGCCTCCCATGCATATTGCTGCACCTGCCACTTAGAGATGGCATTTGGCAGTGTGGTGGCAACCCCTGATCCTGCCCACTTCCTCCAGCAACGTGGACCTAAGGGCCAGGCCTCGCAGCAGTAGGAGGACTGGAACTGGCACCCAGCCCCATCCCAGTGGCTGTAGGGTAACCAGCGCCTGTGACCAGCACCCTGGACCAGGAACAAAAAGGAACAGAAGAACGAAAACCAGCACTGCCATCCTACAGCTCAACTGTAGCTGCCACCTGCACATGGCGCATCAGAAGCGGTGGCAACCCCAGCTCTGCCTGCCATAAACAGCAGCGGGGGACCCAGGGACCCAGGCCTCCTCAGAGGCTGCCACCTGGCCACCTCTGCACCCGTCCCTGCCCTGGTGGCAGCCAGCCATGCTCCTACCTCTCCGGCGCTCTGCAGTCTCCGTCCCTGCCACCCACTGCAGCAAGGCGAGCCGTGGTGCCAGGCTCCAGCCTCCAGCATGCAGCAGATAGCTCTTCCTTCTCATGGCACAGAGCAGCTGGGCGGGCAAAGCCAGAAAAGCCTAGAACGGGACATAAGAGAATGGTAGCATTAGACCCCCACCTTGTCATGCTGGCCACTGGGTGGCATGAGACAGTTTCAGTGAAGGCACTCACACCCACCCTCCAAAGACCACAGCATCTCTTCTTGGCCCAAACTGGCTAGGGAGTAGAGACTGGAGACACCAGGGTGCCTGGGCTTCCCGCTCCACAGGAACCACTGGGACCACCCAGGCTGTGCTTGGGAAACACGAGCAGCAGAAACATAGCCCCAGCCAGCCCTCCCCACCCATGTGCTGGTTCCCATTCCTGAGACCTTCACCCACAGGGCCTTGTCACCCCATGGTATCTGCTACAGAAATGTGTGCCTGCCACACAGCAGCAGATGGCCCTTTAGAGTTTAGAGTCCCAGGAGAGGAGGACCACTCCTCTCTCTGAGACCACCGCTGTCACTGAAACCTCCATCACCTGCCACCGGCAGTGCAGTTTCCGACAGAGCCCCTAACCCACTGCCACCGGCAGTGTAGCCCCAGGATAGCACCAATACCCCATCCCCCACGACCGGCAGGGCAGCCCCAGGATAGTGCCAACACCCCATCCCCCACCACCGGCAGTGTAGCACATCATGGCAGCCCCTAACCTGCCCCTGCTTTAGACACTGCAGCACTCGATGGCACCCGCAAACCACCCCCCTACCATGGGCAGTACAGCCCGGGATAGCACCCCAACAGGCTCCCTGGGGTGGGCAGTGTAGCCACAGATAGCATCCCCAAGCAGACCCCCACCACAGGCAGTGATGCCCCCATATGGCACCCAAACCACCCCACATTGCGGGTGCTGTAACCCTGAATAGTGAGTACCGTAATTCACTCCCCGTTGGGAACAGTGTGACCCTGGATAGCGCCCCCAACCAACTCTCGGCCTTGAGCAGTGCAGCCACTGATAGCACTCCAAACTCCCTCTCCACCTTGGGAAGTACCCCCATGGCTAGCTCGGGTAGCCCCTGATAGTGCACCCAAACTGCCCCTGCCACAACTCACGCAGCCTGGAATAGCACACTCACCCGCTCTTTATGAGGCAGTGCAGATTCCTGAGAGCACCTGGCCCACCCGTGGCCTCTCCACCACTCAGGCTGTGTATCCGGCCCCAAGAGTGCCCCCACCAACCCTCTACCCCAATCCACAGGCAGTCCAACCCTGTGTAGCTCTCCCAACAAGCCCCCCAACCTCTGTCTCAGTGTAGTCCCCATGATGCCTTAAACACCACCCCTCCCCCCGACCAGCAGTGTAGCACCCCCTAAACCATCCTCCACCACCAGCATTGCAGCCCCAGACAGCCCCAACCCACTCCCCATGTGGGCGATGCAGCCTTGGATAGTGCCCCCAACCAGCTCCCAGACAGGCAATGATGTCGTGGATCTCACACCTGCCGCCCCTCCCCCCTCACTGGGGACAATGTAACACCTGACAGCATCCCCAACCCATCCCTCGCCGCTGGCAGTGTTGTACCCCATAGTGCCACCAACCCATCCCAGACAAAGTAGGGAGCCGCGGAGAAGGAGCAGGGAGGTCTGGAGGATTCCTGGTGGGGCACAAGTCCCCGCCACTTACCGCAGAGACCTGTCTCGTCCTCCACCATCACGCTGAAGCCACCTCGGCTCGCTCTGACCGCGCTGCCGCAGCCGCCCCCGCCTACGCCGACTTCCCTCCACCCGGGCCTGGCTGGCTGCCGCCTACAGTCTTCCCTCTCACTGGGGTGGGGCCACTGCCACCACCTCCGCTGACTTCTCTCTGGCCGGGCCAGGGCCGCTGCCGCCCCCGCCGCTGACGTCCCTGTGGCTGGGCCAGGCCGGGGTGGCCCGGGCCGCCATCGCTGCATCCGCTGACTTCTCTCTGGCCAGCCCAGGCCAGGGCCGCTGCCGCCGCCTACGCTGACTTCTCTCTGGCCTGCTCCAGCCAGGGCCGCCGCCGCCTCAGCTGACTTCCTTTTGGCCATGCCGGGGCAGTGGCTGCCTACGCCGACTTCCCTCTGCCCGGGCCGCTGCCTGCTACGCGGACTTGCCGCTGCCGCCTAAGCCAACTTCTCTCCGGCCAGCCCGGGTCGGGCCGCCGCCGCCTACACCGACTTCCCTGTGGCCGGGCTGGGGCCACCGCCGCCACCTCCGCTGACTTCTCTCTGGCTGGGCCAGGACCTCTGCCGTCACCACCAATGTCGCCGCCGCTGACTTCCCTGTGGCCGGGCCGGGGACGACGCCCGCCTACGCCGACTTCCTTCCTGCCAGCCCAGGCCGCCACCGCACCGCTGCCGACTCGCCGGCCTGGCGGGGCAGCCTTCCCTAGGGGCACGCAGCCTGACAGGCACTCGCCTCAAGGCTGTAGCACCACACCTTCTTAAAGGAGCTGTAGCTCAGCCTGGCTCGAATAGCTTCCGGTTGGATGAGAACAAGCTTTGGGTTAGCCAATCAGACCATAGAAATAAAGACCAATTAGAGTAGACCTTGAAGTTTGCTCTCATCCAATCCAAACATGTATTTTAGGAACCCCGTATATAAAGGATGCCAAGCGGGAGTCTCGCCACTTCAGACGTGGGCCCACCTGTTCCGAGCTGGCTTAGAGGAGAAGTGGGAGTAGCTGGCCACCGCTTATGCTGGAGGCTAGAGTCTGCCACATCGGCTGGGCTCGCCTCGCTGTTGCGGTTGTTGGCACTGACCGAGACTACAGCGCAGCTAGAAAGGTAAGATGGGATAGGTTCATCATCTTGGTCCGCACAGCCCTAGGCATGGGGGACGACTTGGGAGTGACCTGCCATGGGCAGTGGGCACTATCCAGGGTGTCACTGCTGGTGTTGTGGGGACTGGTGGGGGGGGGGGTTATTTGAGGCGCCACAGCCCGCGTAGGGGAGAGGGTTGGGGGCCCTTTCCTGGGGTGTGCTGTCCATTGCTGGGGACTGTGATGGGTCCTGTCCCAAGCAGTACTGCCAGCAGCAGTGGGGCTCCTATTTGAGATCCTGCAATGGCTCCTCACTGCTCTCAGGATAAATCTGTACTTTTTATTCTGACCTACACAATCTGGTTCTGTCATAAGCATGACTTTATGAACACCACCTCTCTGCTCAGAAATTTTCAGCGGCAGCTTGGAGATGACCTCAGGCAAGTGCAAATCTCTTAGCTTCACATTCAAAAGGCCTTCTACAATTGGGTCTACCCTTCTAGATTTATCACATTCCGTCTGCTCTTGAGGTCAATTGCATGCTCTTCCCAATACACAGATGCATTTTCTTCCCCTGACTTCCCTCCCATTGTTCACTCTGTCTGAAATGTGTATCCTTTCCTATTTTTACCTCCCCAAACTCTACCCATTCATCAAATAAGACCTCATTGAACAATCGCTTCCTCCACAAAGCCTTCTGTTACCTTTCCTCGTGGAATCATCTTTTTCCTCTAAGTGTCTAGAACATGTTGTTATGCAACAATCACAACCTGCCCTTCTTATTAATATGCAAGCTTTATGAAAGCAGGGATTTTTTTTTCAATGAGATGATTCAGTCCCCGTAGAGACTGCCAGAAAGTGCCAATGCTGAGTGTATTTCAAGTCGTCATGGCAGGGTATCAGGAAGTTTTCAGTTAGCAATAATCATGCCTCGGATAAACCTCATTGGCTACAATACTGCCACTGCGCAATGCTAGCAGTGATCATTTTTTATCCAATGTTAGTTTGCCACAGTAGTTAGTACAGTTAAATCTGTGCTTTCCAAAGTATTTTTGAAAAACAGCCAGCTTTAAAAAAAAAAGCAATCTGTTGCAGATGAGGATGTTTGTAAAACACAATAAAAGGCTGGGCATGGTGGCTCACACCTGTAATCCCAGCACTTTGAGAGGCTGAGGCAGGCAGATCACGAGGTCAGGAGATCGAGACCATCCTGGCCAACATGGTGAAACCACATCTCTACTAAAATACAAAACAAAAATAAAAAAATAAAAAGAGCTGGGTGTGGTGGTGCACACCTGTAGTCCCAGCTACTTGGGAGGCTTAGGCAGGAGAATCGCTTGAACCTGGGAGGTGGAGGTTGCAGTGAGCCAAGATCACACCACTGCACTACAGCCTGGGTGACAGAGCAAGTCTCTGTCTGAAAAATAGATACATAAATAAAAATGAATGATTAGAAAAGTGAAATAAAAATACAGGCTAAAATACAAGCCCAAATCTCTCTCTTTTTCTTTTTCTTTTTTGAGATGGAGTTTTGCTCTTGCTGCCTATGCTGGAATGCAATGGCATGATCTTGGCTCACTGCAACCTCCGCCTCCCAGGTTCAAGCGATTTTTCTGCCTTAGTCTCCCCAGTAGCTGGGATTACAGGTGTGCACCACTACACCCAGCTAATTTTTGAATTTTTAGTAGAGATGGGTTTCTCCATGTTGGCCAGGATGGTCTCGATCTCCTGACCTCAGGTGATCCGCCTGCCTCCGCCTCCCAAACTGCTGGGATTATAGGTATGAACCACCGCACTTGGCCTCCAAATCTCTCTTTATGATAGTCAATAGACATACATTTATCCTCTCAAAGTCCTGCAAATATGTCTAAACACTTAGTTTCCATACTCTTCTCATTTCCCACTGGTAAAACAGTTCATAGATGGGCACAGATTGATGGGCCACATATTGAATAACCTGACATTACCTGCTGCTATATAAACATGTTGGTTAAATAAGTAAATCCATGGACAGAGAAATGTTTTATAACAGTTTTTTTTCAATTATTGTTTGTTTCAGCATCCAATTTTTAAAGAATATAGGAGAATCAGTTATTAATACACTATCATGAAATTTGCTCACATTGGTTTGCTGATTTGTGAATCTTATTTGGATTCATTTCAATAAACTGAAAAATTCAAATATGATTTTCTTTTTGAAAGTGAAAAGCCTGAGCTGGGGTGGGTGGGGTAGCTCATGCCTATATAATCCCAGCTCTTTGGCGGGGCCAGGGTGGACAGATCACTTGAGCTCAGGAGTTCGACACTACCCTGGCCAACATGAAACCCCATATCTACTAAAAATACTAAAATTATCTGGGTGTGGGGACACACACCTGTAGCCCCAGCTACACAGGAGGCTGAGGTAGGAAGATCACCTGAGCCCGGGAGGCAGAGGTTGCAGTGAGTCGAGATCACACCCTTGCATTCCAGTCTAGATGACACAGTGAGTCCTATCTCAAAAACAAAAACAAAAAATACCCCGGCAAGGTTGATGGGAAACTTGCTACATGCCAGAAGTTCAGAGAGTTTCCCTATTGAAGAAAAAAATGAAAACTCACTACTAGGCTTATTGTTCCTCCTTACACAATATTATTTTTTTAAAAAATTCAAAATCAAAGAGATATATATTATACAATATACATGTTTAGTCAGAAATTACACTGAAAGTTTGTTAAATCACATCTCGGAAATTTAAGTGAACTCAAGTAAGTAAATTAACTGCTGAGTTAATTAAGTTGTTAATTAGTTAATTAACTGTTATAGTTTTAAGTGATGACAACAAACTGACACAAATTTCAGTTTTGCTTTCCTATATTTAGAAGGCCTTCATGGAACCGTAAAAGCTGGAGGGCTAATTTTTTCACAGAGTTTCGAACCAAATACTAATATATTTATAATAGGATTTTTATTATTTAGTGTTGAAGGCATTTTAAGCAATTTGTCTAATTGCCTTTCTTTCTTTCTTTCTTTTTTGCTTTTTAAATTAGAGGAAACTCTTCATTTACTTTTAAAAATATAAAATACAACATGTAAGTGAAATAAACATGCAAATATTCATAATGAATAGCCAGTTTGATATATGTCACTACTTTTGTTTGGGTATTGTTTTTAGCCATGAAGGTTTTGGAAAGGTAGACTGTAGTTATTTGCTATGGAACAAACCATCTTAAAACCTGATGGCTTGAAATAATAGCAGTCATTTATTTGGTCTATGGATCTGCAAGTCGGGCAGGCTGGATGGAGACAGCTCATGTGTCCTGATACTGACTGGGTGATCCACTTCTAAGATGGTTCCCCACATGGCTTTTGGCCTGGAGCTCAGCCAGGGCTGTCTCCTGGCGCCTCATTTCCTCTCCTCATGGCTCTTTCTGTGGGCTGCTTGGGCTTCATCATAGGGTAGCAGCAGGCTTCTAAGAGTGAGTTCTTAGGAGGTCTGGAAAGAAGCTGATGGGCTTCTTAGGACCTAGCCTCAGAACTCACAGAACGTCACTACTGCAATGTTATATTTGGTAGTGAGGCAAGTCACCAAAACCTGACAAGATTCCAGGGGAAGGAAATGACTCCACTTTCCAATGGGAAAAGTAACAAAGATCTGAAGAAGTAATTTAGTTTGGTAAGTTAAGGAAGACTTGTAAACTCACATAGTATGCTCTGATACTGGAAAAGACAGAGGTGTTTTGTTTGTTTTGAGACACAGTTTTGCTCTTGTTGTCTAGACTAGAGTGCAATGATGCAATCTCAGCTTACTGCAATCTCTGCCTTCTGGGTTCAAGCAATTCTCCTGCCTCAGCTTCCTGAGTAGCTGGGGTCATTGGCACCTGCCACCACGCCCAGCTTAGTTTTTGTATTTTTAGTAGCAATAGGGTTTCACCATTTAGCCAGGCTGGTCTCAAACTCCTGGCCTCAAGTGGTCTGCCCGCCTCGGCCTCCCAAAGTTCTGGGATTATAAGCGTGAGCCACTGTGCCTGACCAAGAGGGAGATTTATAATGTTTTCTTACTTAACGCTGCCCCACAGTGAGCTGAATGTTAGATTAATCCCACCAGCAGATAATGTAGTAGAAGACAAACTGGATTTGGACAGAAGATCTGGTTTTACACTGAGGTTCCATTGTACTGTTTGAGAGGCTTTTGAGAAAGCTATTTGACCTTTCTAAGATTCTGTTTTCTCATGTTTAAAATGATGATAATACCTCACTTATTTCTGTACATCCCAGAGTCTTTGAGTTCAAATAAATTACTGTATGGAAAAGTGTATTTTAGATAAAAAAATAAATCACGTATGTATGACTAGGTTTTCTTACCACTGGAATATACCCATTGTACTCTCTTCCTCGTACTTGCCTGCTGTTATATTTATATTGCATCTTTGTTTGTGTACATAAGTAACCCCGAATTCTTGAGCTACTGTTTTCACTTAGAACTCTGACCTCAGACAATTTGCTTATACGTTGGGAGGATGGAACCAGGAATTTAGGAGGCAGGGCATTTCCCCGCTGCTGGAAGGATAGACTTTGAGAGGAGGTGGATTTGGGGAGGTATAGGTACATAACCTGTGTTGAGATGGTACCTGTGAAAGACAGGTGATTGGGGGTCCCCTGAATGCCTGCATCTCTCATGCTTTAAATCTGAGAGCCTGAGCTATGGTGCTAAAGGGTGTCAGAGGTTGTTAAGTGTTTGACATTGTTGGTGGTAGTCATGGCTGTGGTCCAGCAATTGAAGCCAAAATGATCTCCCCTGGTCCTAGTGAGGTCTTGTCATTCGTGAGCAATGCCAAGAGCAGCTGAAAGAAGCCATTATAGATGATGGGAACAGAGTAAGGAATTGATTACATCAAGCCTAATGAATTATAGTTGGAGATGCTTGATGAATAGAACTTTGAGGCCCAAAAAATAAAAGTAAGGCAATCCAACGCCTTCCATGAAGGTAAAAAAAAGTGGAGTGTCCAGGACAGCCACTGGGAAGAAATGGACCTTGGGGGCTGGGGCTTCTTCAAGTGCAACTTAGTAGAAGTAAGGAAGGTATGAACTTTCTTCTATAATCTCTCAGGCTTTCCTTTCACCGGTTAATGAGCTTCATCTCATCTGACTTCTATGGGTGAAATCTTTGAGGCCATTCCATCTTCTAACAAAGTCAGAGCTTGTTGAGTGTTTGGTGAATTGTGTTTCCAAATGGGTCTAAGATACACTGTTGCAACTGTTGTATTGGATACTGGAGAAGAGAGAATTTATTGCACCCTTGTAAAAAGCATTGGCTTCCTTGAAGATTGTTAAAAAGAAAGCTAATGGTTGCACATAATATAGGAGCCATAGTCCAGGCGTGGTGGCTCACGCTTGTAATCCCAGCACTTTGGGAGGCTGAGGCAGGTGGATCACGAGGTCAGGAGTTTGAGACCAGCCTAGCCAACATGGTAAAACCCCATCTCTACTAAAAATACAAAAAAAAATTTAGTCAGGTGTGGTGGCAGGTGCTTGTAATCCCAGCTACTTGGGAGGCTGAGGCAGAAGAATTGCTTGAACCAGGACAGTAGAGGTTGCAGCGAGCCAAGATGGCTCCATTGCACTTCAGCCTGCCCAACAGACCAAGACTGTCAAAAAAAAAAAAAAAAAAAAGAAAAAGAAAGAAAGAAACTGAGAGAAAGAAAGAAACAGAGAGAGAGAGAGAGAGAGAGAGAGAGAGAGAGAGAGAGAAAGAAACTGGAGGCAAGTCACCCTGGGCTGTCAGTCAGCTTCATTTTGCCCCCTGCCTAGTGCAACCGATTGGCAAAAATTGATAATATGATATTGACTGATATTTCTAAAAGGTCACAACTACGGAGTTGAGTGTGCACAGTATCTACTCTGTAGAAGTGGAATTCTGCTCATGGTAGCAACACCCATGTGAGCTTGAGCTGGCATCTGATACTAACATACTGGGTCGTGTGTGGCTTGAAATG